ATAAAACACTATTTCAATTTTTTCAAAATTTGGAAAAACTCAAAGGTTTAGCCCACAAATTCTGAGAAAATTGATGCATTTTGAGGTTTTTGTAAATTAATGAATGGAATGTGTCTAAAGTGATATTAAATTGATCCAACCATTTTCCAGTGTAAAAGAGTGTCCAAGAAAGCCAAATAAAACACTATTTCAATTTTTTCAAAATTTGGAAAAACTCAAAGGTGTTAGCCCACAAATTTGAGAAAATTGATGCATTTTGAGGTTTTTGTAAATTAATGAATGGAATGTGTCTAAAGTGATATTAAATTGATCCAACCATTTTTCAGTGTAAAAGAGTGTCCAAGAAAGCCAAATAAAACACTATTTCAATTTTTTCAAAATTTGGAAAAACTCAAAGGTGTTAGCCCACAAATTCTGAGAAAATTGATGCATTTTGAGGTTTTTGTAAATTAATGAATGGAATGTGTAAAGTGATATTAAATTGATCCAACATTTTTCAGTGTAAAAGAGTGTCCAAGAAAGCCAAATAAAACACTATTTCAATTTTTTCAAAATTTGGAAAAACTCAAAGGTTTAGCCCACAAATTCTGAGAAAATTGATGCATTTTGAGGTTTTTGTAAATTAATGAATGGAATGTGTCTAAAGTGATATTAAATTGATCCAACATTTTTCAGTGTAAAAGAGTGTCCAAGAAAGCCAAATAAAACACTATTTCAATTTTTTCAAAATTTGGAAAAACTCAAAGGTGTTAGCCCACAAATTCTGAGAAAATTGATGCATTTTGAGGTTTTTTAAATTAATGAATGGAATGTGTAAAGTGATATTAAATTGATCCAACATTTTCAGTGTAAAAGAGTGTCCAAGAAAGCCAAATAAAACACTATTTCAATTTTTTCAAAATTTGGAAAAACTCAAAGGTGTTAGCCCACAAATTCTGAGAAAATTGATGCATTTTGAGGTTTTTTAAATTAATGAATAATGTGTATAAGTGATATTAAATTGATCCAACTATTTTCAGTGTAAAAGAGTGTCCAAGAAAGCCAAATAAAACACTATTTCAATTTTTTCAAAATTTGGAAAAACTCAAAGGTTTAGCCCACAAATTCTGAGAAAATTGATGCATTTTGAGGTTTTTGTAAATTAATGAATGGAATGTGTCTAAAGTGATATTAAATTGATCCAACCATTTTCCAGTGTAAAAGAGTGTCCAAGAAAGCCAAATAAAACACTATTTCAATTTTTTTCAAAATTTGGAAAAACTCAAAGGTTTAGCCCACAAATTCTGAGAAAATTGATGCATTTTGAGGTTTTTGTAAATTAATGAATGGAATGTGTCTAAGTGATATTAAATTGATCCAACTATTTTTCAGTGTAAAAGAGTGTCCAAGAAAGCCAAATAAAACACTATTTCAATTTTTTCAAAATTTGGAAAAACTCAAAGGTGTTAGCCCACAAATTTGAGAAAATTGATGCATTTTGAGGTTTTTTAAATTAATGAAGAATGTGTATAAGTGATATTAAATTGATCCAACTATTTTTCAGTGTAAAAGAGTGTCCAAGAAAGCCAAATAAAACACTATTTCAATTTTTTCAAAATTTGGAAAAACTCAAAGGTGTTAGCCCACAAATTCTGAGAAAATTGATGCATTTTGAGGTTTTTGTAAATTAATGAAAATAATGTGTATAAGTGATATTAAATTGATCCAACTATTTTTCAGTGTAAAAGAGTGTCCAAGAAAGCCAAATAAAACACTATTTCAATTTTTTCAAAATTTGGAAAAACTCAAAGGTATTAGCCCACAAATTCTGAGAAAATTGATGCATTTTGAGGTTTTTGTAAATTAATGAATGGAATGTGTCTAAAGTGATATTAAATTGATCCAACTATTTTTCAGTGTAAAAGAGTGTCCAAGAAAGCCAAATAAAACACTATTTCAATTTTCAAAATTTGGAAAAACTCAAAGGTGTTAGCCCACAAATTCTGAGAAAATTGATGCATTTTGAGGTTTTTGTAAATTAATGAATGGAATGTGTCTAAAGTGATATTAAATTGATCCAACTATTTTCAGTGTAAAAGAGTGTCCAAGAAAGCCAAATAAAACACTATTTCAATTTTTTCAAAATTTGGAAAAACTCAAAGGTGTTAGCCCACAAATTCTGAGAAAATTGATGCATTTTGAGGTTTTTGTAAATTAATGAATGGAATGTGTCTAAAGTGATATTAAATTGATCCAACCATTTTCAGTGTAAAAGAGTGTCCAAGAAAGCCAAATAAAACACTATTTCAATTTTCAAAATTTGGAAAAACTCAAAGTGTTAGCCCACAAATTCTGAGAAAATTGATGCATTTTGAGGTTTTTGTAAATTAATGAATGAATGTGTTAAAGTGATATTAAATTGATCCAACATTTTCCAGTGTAAAAGAGTGTCCAAGAAAGCCAAATAAAACATTATTTCAATTTTTCAAAATTTGGAAAAACTCAAAGGTGTTAGCCCACAAATTCTGAGAAAATTGATGCATTTTGAGGTTTTTGTAAATTAATGAATGGAATGTGTCTAAAGTGATATTAAATTGATCCAACCATTTTCCAGTGTAAAAGATGTCCAAGAAAGCCAAATAAAACACTATTTCAATTTTTTTTCAAAATTTGGAAAAAACTCAAAGGTGTTAGCCCACAAATTCTGAGAAAATTGATGCATTTTGAGGTTTTTGTAAATTAATGAATGAATGTGTCTAAAGTGATATTAAATTGATCCAACTATTTTTCAGTGTAAAAGAGTGTCCAAGAAAGCCAAATAAAACACTATTTCAAAATTTTCAAAATTTGGAAAAAAACTCAAAGGTGTTAAGCCCACAAATTGATAAATTAGTGATTGAAAGGTGTCTAAACTGAATATAATTTAATCCAGTCATTTTCCATAGTAAAAGAGTATCTAAGAAAAACTAATAACATATTATACCAGTTTTTAAAAAATTTATAAAATTCGTAGGTGTTAGCCCTCAAATATTGGCGAAACTGATAAATTTTGAGGTTTTCGTAAATTAGTGATTGGAAGGTGTCTAAAGTGAATATAATTTGATCCAGTTATTTTTTTATAGGAAAAGAGTATCTAAAAAAGACTAATAACATATTATTCTTTTTTTTTAAAAAATTTGTAAAAATTCATAGGTGTTAGCCCACAAATTTTGGCAAAACTGATAAATTTTTAGATTTTTTTTAAATTAGTGATTGGAATGTATCTAAAGTGAATATAAGTTTATCCATCTATTTTTCATAATAAAAGAGTATCTAAGAAAGACTAGTGCTAAATTATTCCATTTTTTTCAAAATTGGTAAAAACTCGTTGGTGTTAAACAACAAATATTGGCAAAACTGATGAAGATTTTATAAGTTTCTTACTGTCTTAGTGTTTGGTTTGGTGTTTTTAGTGATAATAGATCTATCTTGATTTTTCTGGATGTTTCAATGCATGCATGTAACATGTAATAGGATTTTGCAGATCGATGTTTCCACAATATGAAAGTTAGCATCTTTCTTTTTAAGAAAATAAAATAAAATCATATATGTTAGTAGATTATATAACAAAAAATTAGATCGTATACCATTTTTTACGCCTCATAACACATATATATAGACACTACAAGACACTAAAATCATATCGAATCTCAAAAACATTATTATTGAGTCATAGTCATAAACATATAGACGAGTTTAAAAAAAAAAAAAAAAAACCATAGACGAGTTAGTAAGAGATGGCATCATCAAAGGCTACATTGCTTATTGTTCTTATTGCACTCCTTCTCTCATGTTAGTCTCTCTCTCTCTCTCTTAATTCTAATTAATGACTCAATTTTTCTTTGAAATTTGATTGAGTGATTATAAATACTATATGATTGAATGTAACTATACATTTATAGGTGTGTGGATATCAAACGCAAGGGAAATGCAACGTTCACGAGATGTCGACGAGTGTGTTGGAGCATGCGCACAGGCACCGTTGCATCAAGATCAATATTTTGGGAGTTGTTTTAAAAACGAAGATTGCTTAAACAGTTGTTTCCCGTCTTGTAAAATTCAAAACTGTGTAGATCATGAATGTATCTGTGAGGAATGCGAATAGAACGATGCTCTATGCTCGTATGTTAGGTTATAACACAGATCCACATCAATTAGAACAAGTTTTGACGTTTTCTCAGTTTCTCTATGTCATTTTTTGTCATGTGTAATAATAGAATTGAAATGAACACACTTTTGGAGTTGCCGATTGTGCAACTCTCTCTTTCATCTCTATGAGTATTAATCTGAAAATCTTTTGATAAGGTGTTCTAAATTAAGTTTTCTCGGCTTCACTTTTCTTGCACAATCAAGCAAGCTATTTTAATAATTTAGTTTGAATTCATATTTGTTAATTATAACAAAATTTGATCAAATATAATAAATTAAAAAAGGAAAAACATTTAATCTTTTTGGTTTATGTGAACTTTGTGATTCTTTTCTTTTTGGCTATTATTAAAAAAAATATCCTTAAATTTATAATTTTAGAAATTTCCTTTTTTGTTAATTATAATAAACTTTTATCAAATAAATCATTTACTATGTTCAATGGAAACTCCGTCCGAGCCACGTTTTCAAAATAAAAACTCACGTTTTTTCACTTTTCCTAAAATTTTCAATTTGGAAAAACTCGCAACATATATAAAACGTTTCCAAAGTTGTGTGACGATCTTTTTAACATTTTTTTTTCTTTTAAAACGAATGAGCGACAACTTGCTGTTTTCTTGATCGTTGCCCTAATTGATATCCAGGTTTTGGCTGCTCCTTGTTTCCTCTGCCTTTTTGTTTTTGGTTTGTAAATTTAGGTTCAATTCAAGATATATCGATTAGGTTTTATGAATATTGGGTTTTGGTAGTGATTAGAGAAAGTGTTAAATCTTCAGTGTTTTGAGTTGAGAAAGCAAAGCCCTAAATCGAATCTTATTTCTGACAGGACGAAAAAAATGGACTTTGATGAGGACGACAAACCAAAAGTGGTTTCCAAACCCCGCAGATTTGCACCCAAACCTAAACCTAAACCTAAAACCGAACCAACTGCGCCGCCGTCACAAAGTGATGCTCTCTCGGAGTCTGTGAGCAAGAGTGAGCACGACTTTGATGGGAAATTCGCTGTCTCCAAAGTTGAACCTGAATTGTATAATGGCTCTGTTAAAATGGAGATTGAGAAAACGGAAGCTGCTGAGTTGATGGAAGTCGATAAGGAAGAAGAGGAAGAAGAAGACGTGGTTGTTCGTGAAATTGACGTCTACTTGAATCCATCTATTGATGACAACACTAAGGTTTGCTCTATTATTAGATTACAAGACTCTTTGGAAAAATTTGGATTTTTGCTAATCGTTTGGTTTGTCAATCATGTCAGCTTTATGTTCTACAATGTCCTCTAAGACCGTCTTGGCGTCCATACGAAATGGATGAACGATGCCAACAAGTAAGTAGAAGCTTCTCTATTTACTACCATTTTGTCTTGTTTGTGCTTTAATCTAACCTTTTTGTTTATTTATGTGTCTTTAAGGTTAGAGTGAATCCTTGTACCTCGGAGGTGCAAGTTGATTTGTCCATGGATGTCAATTCGACTAACTATGACTCCAACTTTGGTAGTGAATTAAATATGACTACGCAGGTCAGATTCTAGTTCCTTCCTTCCATCTCTTTTCATCTTCTCCTTTGATGCAACTCAACATTCATTCTTCTTCTTGTACATATGGCTTTGGTAGACCCTAACAACAACATGGAAGCCGCCTCCTACATCCGATTATGCTGTTGGTGTTCTCTCGGGTGATAAGGTCTTTTCTTCTCCTCTCTTTCCTAAGCTTTACAATTAGTATTCAAGAAAGCGCTAGCTTCTATGCATTGTGCCCTAGAACACCTAATCAGAAGCTTTTTGGTGTCTAGTGTGGATGATATCTTCAAAGATTAATGGACTTGCTGTCTTGTTGCAGTTACACTTGAATCCTGTTCATGCTGTTGCTCAGCTCCGTCCCTCTATGCACTATCTGAAGAAACAAACCGAAGCTACTCAAGAATCTGTTGGAACGTCAAAAAAACAGGTACAAACATAATATTGCTAAAAGAATATTGAAGTGTAATGATTTTGGTTGAGTTTCAAAGCACTGAAAATTTAGCATGATTCTCATTTTGAAGCTGATTATTTCCTTTGGTGGCAGAACAAGGGAGTGCAGGATCAGAAACCAATTCCTGAACAAGTAAGTATGACAAGAATTGGTACTTATTCAGTTTCATTTCATCTCTGGCTTCGTTAACTTATACTCAGATATTTTTCAGAATTGGGTTGCACTCAAGTATCATGGACAAGAATCGGAACTGTGCTCCAAATATCTTAACGGAATGATGGCGAATGAGGACTCTTCAATAGACTTCGACATGAGCCCGTAATGATGTCTTTCTTCTTCACTGACTTCGCTTTGTGTTTTCTTCTTTCCCTTTCACTAACATAATGGTCTGGTATTTTGCTCAAGTGAGGCTTATATCAACTCGCTGTGCCGTGGGGAAACCAGCCGAAACGAAGAATCATCCAAAAGGTGCCAAAACCTCTTTCCCTTTTCTTGTTTTATCATCCAGACGACATGTGCACGTGTTCCTTAAACATATAGTCTTGTGCTTTCAGTGTATTGACCTCCCTACCGCTTGAAGAACGTGTGAGAAAGCTGCTCCTCCAGGTTGGTAACTAGGGTTTTCAATGACTTCTTTTGTGTTTTCTTGCATGAAAAGTTATATTGATGCATGCTCATAAGTTATGAATTAAATACAAGTAGCTAACTTGTTCAATCATCACATCAGGGGCCTTGGTTATTTCGATACAGTCTTCTTAAGCATTATGCCCCAGAGGTCTCAGACGAGCGTTTCTTGAGTGTCCTCCAACAATATGCCTGTTTAGTTCAAGGTTTATGGACTCCCAAAACTAAGATACTAAAACTAGAACTAGTGACTCCCAAGCTAGCGGCTTTCAGGGATTATGTCTTGGCGCTGTTCAACAAGGGTTTAACGATAAAGTTCTTTGACGTTAAAGCAGCGGAAAGTATGGTTGATGAAGAGGAAAGGAAGACGACGAAAAGTATGTTGGCTAAACTTGCCAAAGAAAGACCTCTGTTCTGCGATTGGAAATTCAAAGAGCCAACCGATGTCTCCTTCTTAAAATCTTTCCCTGAGATTGCTAATGAGCAAGCAAGTCTTTGGCAAGAGGTGGAGAAGAAGCTTAAGCCCCAAGGAAAAAAAAGTAAAGCTGATAATGTTGCAGGGGAAAATCCTTGCGCTACAAGTAAACCAGAGGTCCCAACATCTCTCTCTAACAACGGAGCAAGTTCAAGAAACACAACAATACCTTGTCTTGTTAGGCAAGAAATGTCAGAAGATGTTAAAAGCGCGATAACAAAGGCATTGGAGAAAGTGTTTAGAACTCACAAAGTTTGCAGCTACAAGACCATCTGCCAAGGACTTAGGGATCTTGCAGTTTCCACATCGAATAATCCAAAAGCTGATTCAGGCATGGCACAGCAAGTGGCGTTAGCTGTGGATGCTCATGAAGAAGAGCTCAAAGAAGTTATCAGTAGTGTGGCTGTAGACATTCACGGCTCTTTTGTCTCCAAGTCGTCTCCAGACCATCCAGAAGATGATCGTCTCAGGGAGGTGGTGATCGAGCTCTTACGTGGAGTTGGAGATGAAGCTGGAAAGAAGCTTAAGAAGTCTCATGTAATTGAAGCCGCCATGATCCGACTTGGTCGTAAAATCACCGGCAACGAATACATAAAGGTGAGCTCTCTTTCACTTTTCTATGTTTTGACCAAAGTTGTGGTTTTAATTCTGACTGCTCTCTCCATGTTGCGTAGGTGATGCACGACCTCTGTGAAACCAGCTCTTCAGGATGGGTTTTACGGAAAGCTCGATGATGAGTCAGTCGTATTAGAGAAAAGGGTTTTTAAGGATTTCAAAGTTTTGATAGTCTGATAGATACGAGAGGATTTTATTGTAGCTCTCTCATTGACCATGAAAAAAAGTTTAAACATAATACTATTTCAAACATAATATTAAACATTTTAAGAGAGTTGGTCTAAATTAGACAGAATACATATTACTAACCTCTAGGAGAGACGTATAACATGTTTAAATTAAACATTTGTGAAGCAAGTTACCTTTTTAGTGAATTCTGCTCTCCAAAATGCTAGGGCCTCTTCAAGCTTCAAACCCATACCCTACATGTCCAAAAAAAAACAGTATGATCATAGGAGATACACCACAAAGAGACCAAAGCAATACGAAAGAGTTTCAGCACAAAGAGACACAAAAGAGATACACCACTAACCGTTAGAGTTGTTTTCCACATGATTTAGAAATAGTTGGAGATCACCACCTTTTTCTTCTATCTCCTCACTAAAATCTTCTCTCCGTTTCTTAAGCCGATACCCCTTGGCTATAGCACTTTTCACAGTGACTGTTTCTTCCAAGATGAGGAAGTGAATCCACTGATGATCATAATGGTGTGAGCGCATGGGAGGAAGCAGACGACTGGGAGTACATCATATCCCAGAACGATATCATCACGAGTCAACCCCAAAATCTGAAGCTTCACAGGTACTCCTACAATCTTCTCCCATTCAGGTGGAAAAGTAAAGCTACGATTGGACCACTCTGCATCATCAAATTAAAAACCCATAGTACTAAACCTGCTTGGTCGTCGGGTTATATATCACTCGTGTTAACTACAAGGACAAGTTGGTTGTTTTCTGCCGGATCACATTTTGTCATAATCATTGGAATCTCGTTTACATGCTGACAAAATTACTGTACAGGTTTTGTGCATACATATGTTATTTGGAGTAAACGTTGGGAGTTGTAAAAAGGTTTATGGAAATAGTAGGTTAACCCCTGCGTTCCATATATTTTTTTAAAATAATTTGGAGTTAGTAAAAAGGTTTATGAGGAAGTCTATTAACAAAATCTTTGGAAATTAATAGGGGTTACTAACTGTTTTCTATAAAACTAGTATATTTTGATGTTTTCTGAAAATACACCGTTTTCCATAAATAACTACATATACTCAGTTGTAAATGAGTCTCTAAAATTGCTTACTAACATAACCTTTCAATTTTTTTTTGAAATTTGTAAGGATTAACCCATCATCTTCACAAAAAAACTAGTATAATTTAAAGTTCTAAAATAGTAAATACAATATTCGACAAAGTTCAGTATTCTCTTTACACGGATTTCAAGGTTTTTGGAATCGGTAGTTAGCTATTTTAAAAAAATGTTATGCTTGTAGTACTAAAATAAATCCTGTATTATACTAAATCTAATTACGAAATATTCGGCTCAATAGTGTATTATTATTGTTTATTGTAGCTCTCTCATTGACCATGAAAAAAGTTTAAACATAATATTATTACAACAAACCCAAATTCCATAATCCGTCACCATCCTCATGATTATGGATTGATTCATTCATCATCATCATCACAAGAAGTAAGTGAGCTGTTCTTTCTTCCTCGACCCTCCTTCTCCATACATCTCATTCCACTGCTTCAACTCTCCCATTCCTTCTCCCTCCGCTGCGAAACTCGCCGCCACCTGCGTTTTCAAAACGCAAACGCCATTAGTTTCCATAATCTATATCATTATAACCACTGTGCCATATATGTCTCTTTCAAACCTGATTCTTGGCTTCTCTAAAGTCTTGTCTGTTCAACGCACGAAGCGTAATAATTCTCTCCCCTTTCTCTTCATCATCTTCACTCGCCTTCGTAGTCTCTCTCTGTTTCTTCTTCTCCTTTAATAACCACATTCGAATCACAATCATCTCAAACCAAAGAAATGAAATTAGTAAGAATATAAAACCCTCAAAATTTTGAATCCTTACCGTATCTTTGATCATCTCTTGTTGTATAAGCTCTCTCACTGGCCTATACGCAGCCGTTGTGCAAAGATTCTGTTCAACCGAATCAACAGTCAAAGATCTCTTCTTTCGATTCTTTACTTTGAGAGATGAGTTCATACAGAAGACAAGAAATACCAAACCTTGAGATCACTTCCTGTGTATCCATCTGTCATCATTGCTAGTTCCTTGTAATCCAAGTTATCGTCCACTTTCTCTTTCGCCAACAATGTCTTAAGAATCTTCTCTCTGTTCTCTACACCCGGAAGTCCCACCATAATCCTGCAGAAGAAAAACCCGGTAAACAACCTAAACCGAACCAAAACCAACTGTTCAATTCAAGCCAAATCTGTGGATGAAGTAGGTAACTTGTGGCTTAAGTCAACACCTTCTTTCGAAACGTCTGATAATGGCCTCGTCAAGATCAAAAGGCCGATTTGTAGCAGCAAGGACTAAGATACGCTCACCAGGTTTAGTCATTAACCCATCCCAATGACTCATAAACTCATTCTTAATCTTTCTCATAGCTTCATGTTCTCCAACTCTCGTCCTTTGTCCCAACATACTATCAACTTCATCCACAAAGATAATCGTCGGTGATACTTTGGAAGCAAGAGTGAACAAAGCCCTAACATTCTTTTCGTCTTCTCCAAACCATTTTGAAGTTATGGTCGACATGGAAACGTTGATGAAACTCGCTCCTGCCTCTCTCGCTATGGCTTTAGCCAGCATTGTTTTACCGGTTCCAGGCGGACCAAAGAGCAAGATTCCCCTGCATGGCTTCAAGAGACCTCCTGTGAAGAGATCTGGTCTACGGAGAGGAAGCATTACAAGCTCTTGTAGTGATTCCTTGATGTCGTCAAGCGCACCAATGTCTTCAAACGTGACGTTGATTTCTTCTGATGGGATCACTTCAGGTCTTATCCGTTTCTCAAACTCGTTATCCGGTGGAACTTCCTGTTCCATAGAGGTTAACGAAATTGACATTGAATCAAGTAGAAAATTAGTATTGACATTGAATCAAACTTACCGGAGCTTTTGGGGTTGCTTTAGCTTCTTTCTCCGGTTCGTTCTTGCTGCTTGCGGCGGTGACGCTCTCTGGTTTAGTCTCCGGCTTGACATCAGCCGCTAATTCAGCTTTTGGTTCCTGAAACAGTGAAGAAAATACGAATGTTTGAGCTATGGTCTTGTCTTAATCCTCTGTTTCAAGCTAAGTCAAGAGTATAGAGAAAAGACCTTAGGTTTTTCTTCCTTAGGCTGTTTCTTCAGCTTCTCACGACCACCGGCTTTTCCTTCTCTGAACAAACTGAATCCATGCGATAAACTTACACCGCAAGAAAAAATAAAACATGTCAGTACTAAAAAAAAACCACAAAAGTTTGCTTGCACAACAAGATAGGGTTCTTCTTTACCTTGTAGACGAAATCACAAGCTTTCCATTTCTATACTCAGGATCTTTGTTGTTCATCAGATGATAAGAAAGCGCAGAGACGACAATCTCTTCAATGTAATTACTCAAAACCTTTGTGTCTTCAAAAGAGATCGACTCGAGGTCATCGCATATAAGATCATTCTCACTCAAAACCTCCATGATATGGTTCCTATTGTCCTGAGTTTGGATCATGTTCATGTCCCGTTCAAGCTGCGACTTCCAGCTCACCAGATGGCCCTCATCATCAGGCGGCCTTATATCGATGTTGTAAGGGAACACAGCTGAGAGCTTCTCGTCGATTTCGTGAGCATCTTCGCTAGACAAGTCTACGATTCTCGAACCTAGAATGAGAACCGGTCCACTGAGTTTCTGGAGAAGCTTTTGGAACAAGTTGTATGTTCTCTGCGAGCGGAACAGAAGGTTCTCGATGTCTCGAAGATATAACACAATCGGATTCGCCTTGGAAACATAGGCCAAGACCTGAACATTCGTACGTAGTTGCAAGATATTGTTATAAAACATTATTCAAATAAACCTAACTTCTATTATACGTTACCTTATATAAAGATTGGATCAGAAGCTTTTCGTCGAAGGACCAGCTACTAGTACGCTTCAAAGGCGCTGCAAATAGAGAATCATATGTTAGAATCATGTATATAGATTTAACGTTTAAACTGCATTTGATGAAAGCTGCATGTAACCTGAATTTGATGAAGATGCAAGGTTGCTGATATTAGCTGCTGAAGAGTTTCGACGAAGCTTTGAAGGATTACTTGAGCCTTCCATTGCGCTGTATAGTTCACAGATCACAAGATTAAAACATTAGTTTGATTGCAAAAATATTGACCGATATTGAAATTTGGGGTAAAAGACACAGAAACAGGACCTTGATTTGATATCCACACCACTGCTTTGCCTCCTCAAGGTACCACCAGCTTAACAGATTCATCAACCATTACACGGTTAAGCAGAGCCGGTTTAACATTAAACCGAGACAAGGTTTGGATTTACCTTTGCACTCTTCTCTTTGAGGAAGGATTGAGAAAGAACTAAAGAGTCCTGATAGTTGCTCTAAAGCAGATTCTGAGGGAGATCTCTTGAATGACTACGAAAACCGGATTTGCAATTTAGATCAATTGCAAGTACTCTGAAATAATAACCAAACCGAATCAGTAAACCGTTTTGCCTACCGATGATTCTGTATTTCCGCTGCTATATTTGCTCTGTATCTGAAAACACAATGATGAAGTAGATTTTTAAGGTTCCCAATAGAGAAGACTTAACAAAAGGTTAATAATGTTCATAGTTAGGGTTTTCAGAAACCTTCAGTGCGAAATCGTTAACGTCTAGAAGAAGTAACTTGGCGTCAAAGAAATGAGCTAGGGCTTTAGCTAGCATTTGTTGGTAAAGCTCTGCAAAGAAACAGATTGCGAATCAAAACATGACCACACCTAGGTTCAATAGACGAAAGATCGAATCATCGGAATCTAACCGGCAGGACCGGACAAGAGAATGGCTCGACTCGCCGGAGACAAGTTTCTGGCATACTTTGACGCATCAAAGTGCTTCAAATGAACATAAGCTGCGCTTGTAAGAAGCACTCGTGTTTGGTCACTACATAATCCCAAAAAACATTGATGAACAAGATGATACATAAACATACTCTTGTTTCTATGTAAATAAATGTTTCAGACATTCAAGGGAATAAATCCAAACATCTTGGGGTCAAGATCACAGGATCTCACTCTTAGTTACACGTGTCGGAATCAGAAGACAGTGAGATCATCACATGCTTCACCTTTTATCACTCCAACGAACATCTTATCCGTTTTAAATAAAAAATCTAAACTATAGATCAATTTTAATTTTAGAAAAAACAAATTAAAGCAAATTGCGATGACTCTTATTTTATTCCTTATCATTTCTATATTCTAACTTGTTTTATCGTCTCGAAATGCGAAAACTATAAATTAAAATACTACAAATAATCAGAATTGAAGGAAAAAAATCGTGAAGTAGTGTTGAATTTCATGTGAACAAAAAAATAAATTACCTGAGATAATAAGGAAACTCATCGAAAGTAATTTTACTCTCTCTTCCGTCAACAACTTGACGGAGTATCTCCTTCTCCATCTTATCCGCCGTAACGGCGTTACTCGACGTCGAGTTTCCGGTGGCCCATTTCCCGACGGCTTGACCGGAAGCGAGGCCTAAACCCACACCGACTCCAACTCCGACGCCGAGCGCCGATAACAACATCTGTTTGCTATCCATTGATCGATCTTCCAAGAAGCAAAAAACTAAAAACAGAGTGTATCAGTAATATATAGATGAAGATCTATATGTCTTCTGCAGTTTTCTTTCTCTTATTTTGGTCCTAAACGCTTAAACTGTCTGAAAATCACAGAAATTAATGTTGAAACCGGATCTACAGACACGTCATCACCGGCGGTGCAAACGAGGCGGAGACGGCGGTAAAATGATAGATTTAGGGGTTTCTTAAAGAGATTTTTTTTTTATTATCGCTTCTCTCTGTTTTGATGAGATGATGATGAAAGAGTGTTATTCATACACATGAAAAACTGATGAGTCATTACGAGGACTTTGCTTACGTGTCGTTATATCAACGGCTACTAGGTTCCGTTTTGGCAGTTTTTAATTCGATTTTACCGCTTCTTACTCTGATGGTCTTCAATTCTTCTGTTCTTTCAATTTATTCCTCAAACTTATTAAATTTGTCATTCTAGTCCAGAAATGTGTAAAAGTAAAACTCTCAACCTTGCAAATACAGAGACATAATCTCAAACAAGAAAATTCAAAAGATGTTGTTTAGATGCTGTAAAATTATGTCTAGTAAAATTATGTTTTTATTTGAGGGTATTTTGTAACGATTGATTATTTTGTGGGGTATCTAAAAATAGATTTGTGCTAAAGAGGTGCGATTGAAAGAAATAAATAAATAAAATAAAATACAAAAGACGCAGAAGCATGACTGTTAGATCTGGAAGGCGTGGATTATTTAAAGCCGTTGGATTACAGAGTGAGATCCACGTAAGGGGACAAATTGACGGCGTAGATCGAAAAGTATGGCTTCTCCTGTCTTCGCAGCATTAAACTAATCCGATCGCCATAAATGTGACTGACTCTGACTAAACATGGGCGTTTTCGACAAATGGGCTTTTTTTATAATGGTCTCGAAAGAGAAACTAACCCCGTGGCCGTGAATTCATATGGATCGTTGTATTGGTTTCTTCGGAAGTATAGTATCTATATAAAAAGTGTATGATGGTAAACAAAAGTCAGGATGGCCGAGTGGTCTAAGGCGCCAGACTCAAGTTCTGGTCCTCGTAAGAGGGCGTGGGTTCAAACCCCACTCCTGACAATTGTTTTTTTTACTCTCAATATTTTGCAGAAAAATTGCAAACCAAACAGTTAAAAATGCGTCAAATCAGAGGATAACGTAAAACTTCATGAGTACTGTTACTTTACCAGCAACAATCACAAATTGATATTAACCAAAATAGAGAAGCAACTAAAATTGCAATCTGCAAACAAAGACATGAGTTTTATTCTTATCATCATCATCATAAGAGACTGTTTTGAGACAATTCACAATAACCATGCTTGGACCCTTAATTCAATATCTACAGAGAAAATAAGACAAAAGAAAGACACAGAGTTCGACATTTTTTTTACTCTCTAAGCACAAACCTAAACCTAGAGAACAAACACAAGAAGACTCTTAACACACCTTCACTCTCACGTGCCCCCACATACTCCACACGTGCAGAAACCGAAGACAACTTTCTTTACATCACATCCACCTCTTAGGCAAGTTGCTTGAGGCAGAGCCACCACCACCACCGTCTCTACCCAACATTGCCATTATCAAACTTCCACCATGAACTCTTCCTTCCGGAGCCAACCCTAATCCTCCTCCATACTCATTCAGATCAATATCAGTCTCTGGAGAAGACCTAACAGCACTCCTCTCAATGTTCATCTCCTGAGAACCGCTAAACTCTTCCTCGTTCTCATTCTCCGTCTCGCTCCCGCTTACTCTCGGCTCTTGGCTCTCCGAAGTCACAGTCATTCCTCCATGAACCCTATTATCTTGCACCAGACTGTTATGCAGCGCACACAAACCACTCTTCCCTCTAGCAAACGAACCACAAGCACCAGAAGAAGCCTGTCCTGACGCAAACTCACACCGTTTCCCTCCTCCATGCGCCTTGCAAAAGTCAGTACTCCCTTGAGCACTCTTCCCACATCCCTCCGACTGACACCTCTTCCCTCCACCATGTCTAACACAGAAATCAGTCCTTCCTCTAGCACTCTTCGTGCACTCCGCAACCGCACACCTCTTCCCACCTCCATGAGCCACACAGAAATTAGTACCACCATGAACACTCTTGCTGCAAGGATCACTCCCTTGAAAGGCACACCGTTTCCCACCTCCATGCCCTTTACAGAACGGCGTGCTTCCTTCCGCTCCCTTGTTGCATCCCAAATGCGTACACCGCTTACCACCGCCGTGCGCTTTGCAGAACATTGTGCTCCCTTGCGCTCCTTTCGTGCATCCCTCAGACTGACATCTCCGTCCACCTCCATGAGAGATGCATAGCCCTGAAAGCCCTTCAGCGCTTTTCGTGCAGTTCTCTCTCTGGCAACGTTTCCCTCCACCGTGTCTAATACAAAGCCCTGACCTTCCTCTGGCAGCTCTTGTACAGTCCTCATGGCTGCATCTTCTCCCACCTCCATGAGCTATGCAGAAATCAGTCCTTCCTTCAGCGCTTTTGGTGCATCCGAGGAACTCACAACGCCGGCCGCCTCCGTGTGCCTTGCAGTACACGGTTCGACCTTCAGCGCCCTTGTGGCAACCGTGTTTCTGACATCTCCGTCCGCCGCCGTGGGAAATGCAGCGGCCAGAGGCGCCTCTCGCTCCCTTTTGACATCCTTCTACTTGACATAACTTGGAGGAAGAAGAAGAAGATGAGATCTTGTGCTGTGGCTTCAGCTGCTGAGTTAAACCGGAAGTACATGTACCAGAGCTTATCGGTGTAGTCGTCGTCGCCGTGCTAGATGACAGTTCCAGAACATGACAAGCAGGAGCAGGAGGAATGATGATGTTCTTTGGAGCATGTGCTAAGAAAGAGCTTGTTGTAGGTCTAGTCACACGTAGCATCTCCGCAAGAGTCTGGTGCTGCTTGACCGACGCAGTGATCTCAGATTGACAGGACACTCCTCCTCCTCCTCCTCCTCCACCGGAAAGACTCAAATCAAGATCAAATTTCGGAGCTTTCATTTTCAGATTAGCTGGTTTTTGGTTGCCGCCAAGATGGAGGGTAAAGTCAAGCTCAATGTCCATTGAAGACTCTTCCTCAGTTTCTTTAGCGGAAGATAAACTCACGCAACTTCCTTTGCTATCAGAAGAGCTTGATGAGTGGTGATGATGATGATGATGATGGCCGAGTCTCAAGGACAGTAGAGGATCAGCTTCTTCTTGATTCCATTTCCTTTTAACACCCTTGGCGTTAGACAACGGCGAGGCCAGAGAGTCAAGACGCAGAGTAGTATCAGTAGCAGCCTCTGGTACATCTACTTGTAGAGAACGGCCCAAGATCTTAAACGAGGAATGACCAGCAAAACGAGGATCCATGGTCACAACTTAAAGAAAATATATAAAAACTTGTCAAGAACACCAAAAGCAAAGATTGAGACGGTAACACACAACTTCCGGGTTAAGGAGAATTAAGCCACAGCGCTCTAAGAGTTAGAAGACCTTATAAGCATCTCCACCTCCGCTTACGAATCCTGATGTGTCACACCGGTCCATTTTTAATATAAAGTTTCAAATCAAATCTCGCAGCTGATGATTTGGACTTGGACTACTCAACCTCAAAACTAGTTCTCAACCTTCACAACAGAGTAATGGTAGTAGCTAACCATCCTGCTTCACAACAAAATAAACCATATATTAAACATTAAACATAGTTATAGGACAAAAACAAGCTCTATTGAGAAAATTCGATACAGAGTTGTTTTATTCGTTTACCAAACAAGATCTTGCTAACATATGGTAAAATCAGAAATACACACCACAAAGTTATGGACTTTTAAAGCTCAAATCACTAGCTCTATCATTGATTTGCTTCCATGGAAACGCATAGATTTAAGAGAGAAAAAGCAAGCAGAAGAAAACAAAAACCCAAAACCGGAGTTCCTGAATTAAACCGACACGAATTCCATCGGTTACAGAAACAAAAGAACAAAAAACAGAGCAAAGAGACAAGACAATTGTTCAATTTCCTAGACATCGATCTCAGAGTCATACTTTTTTTTTTTCTCGAACACGGAGGACTCGTTTTCTCTGACTTTTTCTCATGGAACGAACATGCAAATCAAGCGAAACGCAAGGAAAATTTATAAAACAAATTCGATTGCGAAACGAAGTAACAAAAACAAGGATGTTGTGGCTGAACAATTTACCTCAATTTTGAATCTGAATTACGGAATTTCACGGCATCAAATGATAAACCAAATCGGAATTCTCCTTCTCTCTCTCTCTTTCTCTGAGCGAAATTAAGGTACTTGGCGAATTATTCTTCTATTGGGGTGTTTATTTTGTGAAATCTAGGGATTTGCAGCGCCGGCGAGAGAGATTGAAAGAGGTATAAATAGGAGAAAGAGAGAAGTGAAAGAGAAGAGAGAGAGAGAGAGAGAGGCTTAAAAGTGGAAATCATCGAATCTCAAAGAAGAGGAGGAAAAAAGGGTAAGGAGACTGATGCCACACGTGCCATCAGAATCTTTGGCACGTGCCAAACCCTTTTACGTCGTCTTGTATTAATAAAAAAATAATAAAAATAAATACCAAATTAGACGGAGGAAATAAATCAATTATTAATTAATTATATTAAAGTCACAGCTAAAATTAATAAAGAACACCTAATTACCTGTCAAAACATGACAATTGGTTGTGTCCTCCACTTCCTCCCATATATTTTCATGATTAAATATATTTTTCTTTTGTTCAATCAAGATTTCCCTCTGTTTTTAAAATCATGTTTTGAAAGTATTTTATGTTGTTTCACAAATACAGAAATTTTCATTTTTATATTTAAATTAATTTAGTAATTTATCCTTAATAATTAAAAGTAGGTATTTAATTAAAGCTAGATATTTAATTAATACATCTTTATTATTATATTATTAATTGAGAAGTACATTCTAATGTTTGGATACAAGAATTAGAGAAACATCTATTTGGATAGAAGAATAAATGGAAACAAAAGTTGTTTGGATATAAGAATAAGAGAAAAATCTATTTGGATAGAAGAATAAATGGAAAAAATTGTTTGGATACAAGAATAATAACTTAAAATAAACCGATGGTTTAGAAAACTTCCGTTTTCCATCTCTTAAAAATCTGCAAAAAAAAAACTTAACATAATCTAACGATAATTCCAAATCAATAGAATATGCTTTTTGGATTTTCGGGTTTTTATAGACAAGTTCGGGTTTGGGTGAAAATCTGAGACATAATTTTATAGAGATATAGAAATTGTTCGGGTTTCTTTGAAAATTTCTGTTCGGGTTAGGTTCAATTTTTTTTTTCAGTTTAGGGTTTTCCGGATTTTTTAGATTTCTGGTTTTCGGGTTTAGATATATTAAAAAAATTGAGTATTTTAAAATTTTGATTAGGTATTGGGGTCGGGTTCCGGGTGAAAAAGTTTCCAGATTTTTTTTGTTCAGTCAGGGTTTTCGGGATTTTTTTGATTTCGGATTTTCATGTTTAGACCTATTAAAAAAGTTTGGGTTTTTAAATTTTTTGATTAGGGTTTTTTGTCGGGTTCGGATTTAGGGTTTAAATTTTCTACACAAAACAACAACGTCACACCGCACAAACGTGCGGGTACTCTACTAGGTATATAGATTTGGTATTGCAACAAATTAATTAAAACGTGTGAATATCATCATTGCACATACAAGTTTTAGTTTTTAAATGTAATTTTGAAAACAGTGTATCAAAAAAATGTAATTTTGAAAATAAAATTTTTTTTAAGTTGAATAATCAATAAGATATATAAATGAAAATACGAATAGATGGTTACTTGCCACGAATTAAAAAAAAAAATGTATTGAATTAATTTTGCTTAATTAGGTTAGTGTATGGCTAAATCAGAAGATTGGCGGTTGCTAGCGTCAGCATAACGCAGTTGCGTGGCGGCTGAAGCAGCAGCGGCTCGTCACCGTTCAATTTGGTTCTGTGATTATGAGTTTGGGCCCCACATGCCTCTTTGTGTGGGTCCCTTTTGATTCCCTCGGGAAGGTCTACGATCGATAGCGTAATTTTCGCGATTTTTTATTTTAATTTCAGTTTCAGTCTTTCAGACAACATTATATAAAGCGACGTCGTTGCATAGTTTTGCTATCATTTGTCCGAAATAAGAAACGAAGGCAAGGGTCCACGTACGATAAAAGAGTGGTTCAGGTTGCAAATTGCAAAATACATAGATTTTGTTGCTTTTTTAGGTCAAATGTATTGATTCTCATTCCTTACATTTTTCCATTGATATTAAGTAAATGACAGCTTTGCGCATATATTTTTGTGTGTTAATAATAACTTTGCGTATATGAACATCCAGATGCATTTTCTCTCAACACATTGTTATCAAACCTCTATGAGACTATGACTTCTGTATATAAGTGAAAAGTTATCCATTTCTCCAGATATCTAAGTCAGTTTTTCAAAAAAAAATACACCATGTTTTTTTTTTTTTTGGTAAAAAAGATCTTCATTTGGGAGTGGAATGTATAAAGCGGGTAACTTTATAACTTTTTCATCTAATTTATTTATTTCACATGCACGATTCTAATATTTAAATGTACCTTTACATGACGAATAATTAAAAGAATATGCTCTACGGCTCTACCATGTTAGACCCCTTTATATTCTTTACTGTCCCGAACACGTGTTATGTTTGGTCGTATCTTTCAAAACATAATATATAACCTATCTTGACCTCTAAGCAAATTCTAACCACTAAAAACCAAATGTAGTTAACATTTTTATAGTACGCATATATATATGCATGGAAAAATGTAAATCCACAACATAGTTAGCAGAGAAAGAGTAGGATAAACAATACATTAAAATTTTGTACAGAAAATAAGAGGAAAAGATAAATGATCTCACTTACGTAATGATCTCAGCTACCGTCACAGCAGCAAACACGAGAAACAAAACTCCTCCGACATAAGCAATTGCCTGTTTTGAAACCAAACAACATTCAAAAACCTTTCGTCTTAAGAACCCTCTCTCTCTCTCTCTCACTCTCAAACACTTAATTCGATGAAAAAATATATAACCAATTTGGAAAATGGAGTTTGTAAATAGTCTGAAATCTAAACTTTAGGTTTTCAACTGAATCATAAATCCTAAAAGCTAAACTCTTTAAATCCTAAATCAATAACTTTAAAACGCAAGCAAATAAGTCAATTTCTTTTATTAAATAATAAAAAGCAACCTATTTTTTTATACATTTTAAAAGACGTTTTCTCTACAAATTTCAATTGTTTGGGAATAATATCGCGTTGTTGACAGATTGGATCGGACATAGGAAAGAATAAAAACAATAAAAGATGTTATTTTGACTCTTTTCTTAGGAGGAATAGATACTAAATGATGTGGAAGACTTGAGATCAATGAACATAGAAGCTTATTGTTGCCACTTGCCGCAGAATAAAAACCTTAATCTCTACTTCTCTCACTTTTCTTTCTATCAAGTTAAGTCTCAGAACAAAAGAGATCCTTTGACTAGAACAAAACTCAAAAGGTGTTTTTGAAACTAAAAAAAAAACCAAGATAAAAGCTTGTAAATCGCCAATGGAATCTGGTTTGTGTGTAATAAAAGCTTGAATATGTCCAAGGATATGCTTACACTTAGTATATTCACCCTCCATTTCATGATAGTTTAAGGACATAGATTTGCTTCATTAAACAAATCTATGTGTATTTTAATCAAGATTTTTAAATTCAACTAATATTAAAATTCAAGATAATTAGATAGTGAAAGTTACCTTCTCTGACAAGAAATTTCCTAGCAAAGAACCTCCCAAAACAGCAAGCTGCGATCAACAAACCAAGCAGAAAGTTAAAACTCTTATGGCTCCAAGTTTCTAGAGTATTTAAAACCTATTCTTTGATAGGAACTCACAAGAGTCGCAGCACCATGACCAGCCAATGCACCAGCGATGACACCCAATGGCGATGACGCAGCCGCAAGAGCTTCAAAAGATTAACATATTATGTACAGTTTTGGACAAGTTTATGATGAAAGTAAGAAGTTTTTAGTCTCACCGATTGTTGAGAAGAAGGATTTGTCACCCCATTCCGCAACAAAAACCAACGCGAAGGTGCTGATGATGGTGTTCGCTGCTGCTATTAAACCAGCTCCATTACCTGAAAGCTCTGAAACAGCTAGCTCCGCCTGAAGAAAAGAAGTCACTGAGTTCTTGAAGTGTTCATCAAGATTTCAAGAATATAAAAAAATGGCTAAAAAAGAGGTTTTTACTTCTTTCTGTTCTTCATCAGCTTTAAGTCCATCGTTTGAAATAGCGTCTGATAACGTTGAAACACCAAAGTAAACCTAAAAATGTAACAAAAATTAGTTTAATACTTAAGATTAACACAGCTCTGCTTTAGAAAGGTGAATAATGATCTTTACCAGAAGACAAACTGCTGCAATATCATCTATAGGCAAATCTGTTTCACCAAACCTGTGTATTTCAAGTCATTAACTTTCAGATTTCATCATTCAAACTTTAACCTAATTTTCGCCAGAGTTTTCAAACCTGAATGGAAGAATTTCATCAACATAGTGGAAAGTTCGTCCAAGCACTACAGATATTATCGTCATTATCCTGCAAGAAAATACCAAATCTTGTAACATTCCTCTCATACAGATTTGAAATTAACATTTGGTTTTGAGAAAGAGAGCATACCCTAGAGCGCCAAAAGTCCCTGCGAATACGGTAACAGCATTGTTCCTTGCAGCTAACAGAGCCTAAACAAACCTTACCACAATCAATACAATGTTTGATGTCAACATCACAATATATCTTTGAAAAGATCAAGAACATACAGCAATGAAGAAAGTCTTGTCTCCAAGTTCAGAGAAGAAGATAAGCAAGAACGCCTGTAGAGAGAGACAAAGACAGAGCCAAGAACGTGAATTTTTTAAAAAGGCTGTGGCACTGAAGAAGACACATAGTTCCTATGCAAAAAAAGGAAGATTTTTCTAACCGAAGCAAAACCTGAGCTAATGTCTCCGAGGTCTCCAAGAGAGGTCACAAATGTCTGCATCATCCCGTTCGGAATCTGCGTAACCGCTGCAAAAGCTTGATCACTTCCGAGTAACGCCAGCGAAGAACCAGACAGAGCCAAGAACTTGAGAGCTCTCTGATGAGTCTCTCTTCTTGATGGTTTAACCACAAATTCAAGACTTCTACATTCTTCTTCTTCAGATTCAGCTTTCTGAGAAAATCAAACAAACAAAACAATTTCATTTAATTTTAGCTCATGCATAAGTTCACAGAATCTCTCTAATTTCAATTTTCAAAAATCGGAGAGATCGGTTTAGGTAAATGTAACAATCAGACTCACCTTGAACCGTATCCGAGATTGATTTCGACGAAATTGAACCGGAAAACCGATCCGGATTGGAAAAGCGGAGACAACGCATCTTCTCGACGGTGAGGAAGAAGGCGAATCGGATTTGGGAGGCTTTGAGTTTAGGAAGGGAAGACGAAGCGAATCGGAGACATTCAAACTTAGCATTTCTCTCTAAATTTCGCCAGAGTTTTTTTGCAGTGTGAATTGTGAATTTGATTTTGATTCGTTACTGCGAAAAACCTTTGGCTCTGTTTACTTCTATGAAGATAGTGAAACAATCCATAGAGAACTACTGGTTGAATAGTGAAGTGTCTGTTGCAATAGACACACGTGGCGAGTTTCGTACCAACAGCTAACTTCATGTTGGGCCAAAAATAGGCCTCTTTTGATTAAATGCTTTGGGCCTTTGGCAGTTTTGGCCCGTTGTGATAATTTTGCAAACTAAAGTATTTAACCATCTTTTGCACACAAAAGAAAATATTTAACCATCTATTTTTAAAAAGTGATTAATATACTCTAAACTGTAAAGTAATTATGGTTTCAATATATTCTCAAAAAGTTATGAACAGTTATAAGTCACATTTAACATTCTTGCAATTTGTTTTGCTTTATTGGCTGCCAAATGCATATCTTCTATTAAGTCGGCTAAAGCTATAGCTTAATAAAATGGATCATATTAATTAGTTTTGATACAAAAAAGACTATAAAACTGGGTTTTTTTTCATCTCTCTTCATGCTTATTATATTTGTGCTCCACCAACCCATGATTAGAAGCCGAAAGTTTGATTATTACTTTTTTTTTGTTATAAAAGGAATTGAAGACTATTAAGGTCTCCAAAGATTTAAACGCAATTTCCTTCTGCGTTTGAGTTTACATAGAAATTTAAATGTAGCTCAAGAAACATTAAACTTTTGACTACAAAATGAGTACATGACTAAAAATAAATAACTTACTACAAACTTAACTTGAGCAGAACGGTTGAATTTATATATATACAAATTTTGTAGTCAAGTCCTATAAGCTAGAACTAGACGAACTACATATTTAAAATATTTGGTAATTGATCTGCTTTTATATTTACTGGTGTTCTTGTAATTCTATTTGACTTATGGTATAAGTTTTCGTAGTTTCATATGTTATCATAAGTTTTGGTATTTCACTAGGATATCATTACACATTTGACTGTTTTCTCCATTACTACAAGTGGTAGGAAATTTTGAAAGGTAATTGAGCCGCCTACATTGAAAAGTTAGTAAATGATTTTACTTTGTATATAATACACAAACAAAACTTTTTCACCGACCTAAAAAAGTAGAAACTCTATAAATTAATAATGTCGGGACTTTGATATTTTATTAATTTATAGAGTTATTAATTAATCGATTTTGTTGATTTTTTCCTTTTTAAAAAAAAAATTATGACAATCTTTTAAAACTTTATTTATATTAAATAAAAAGTTTCCCTATATTTTATTTACTTTTTTTTCTTTAACAAAAAATGTTTTATTAATTTGTTTTTCAATATTTATGTATTTACTTTATTGTTTACGTTTTTTCGTATTTGTCATATTATTTAAAGTTCATTTTTTTCTTTCGTTTCCATATTCTATTCGGGTGTGTGAGGTTTATGAAACACACAACCTTTCACTTATTACATGTTCTTTGATATGCAAAATCATTGTTTTCATTTTCATCAAAATCTTTCTCCAAATTTCTTACATCTAGAAAAGAATTTGTGATGCAATAAGAAAACTAGAGATGACCTTCAAAAATTTCAAGTTTAAAAATGAGCAAACAACATTAATTTATATTTCAGTTATGTATTAATGTATGTATATATATTTATAAGTTTTCATATAGTGATTATTAATTTATAATAGTATTGGGACCATATTTTACAAAGAAGTTTCAAAAATATTATTATCTTATTATCTTATCGAATTGTGTCATATTTTACACCGGCTCAACTCGGGACCGGAAAATTTTATTAATTTATCGTGTTTATTAATTTATCGAGTATTAATTTATAGAGTTTCTACTGTACAAGGAACAAGAGAAAACAAGATGAGTTTAGTCCACTTCAACTTTATATTACAGTCTACTAAGCTCAAGTAGTTGTATATAAACCCATCACTCTCCTTCATCAGTTTCACTATCTCATCATCCACTCTCACATTTTCATAGTATAGAAGAAGATATGGTTAGCAACATGAAATCATTCATCTTCTTGTTCATTCTCCTTGTTCTATCAAAAACCGTAACATCAGCTAGAAAGCCATCCAAATCACAGCCAAAACCATGCAAAACCTTCGTTCTCTACTACCACGACATAATGTTTGGCGTTGACGACGTGCAAAACGCGACTTCCGCAGCCATTACCAACCCGCCGGGCCTCGGGAACTTCAAATTCGGAAAACTCGTGATCTTCGACGATCCAGTCACCATAGACAAAAACTTTCAGTCCGAACCTGTGGCAAGAGCTCAAGGTTTCTATTTCTACGACATGAAAAACGATTACAACGCTTGGTTCGCGTACACGCTCGTGTTTAACTCGACTCAGCACAAAGGGACGTTGAACGTAATGGGAGCGGATCTTATGATGGAGAAGACAAGAGATTTGTCTGTGGTCGGAGGGACAGGTGACTTCTTCATGTCTCGTGGGATTGTTACGTTTGAGACTGATGTCTTTGAAGGTGCCAAGTATTTTAGGGTCAAGATGGATATTAAACTCTATGATTGTTACTAAAAAAGGATAATTAAATGGCCCAAGAGACAAGAAAGAAGAGAGTTTGATTTTTACTTTACAGTTTTTGATAATTGAATAAGTTTAAGTTGTGTAACAATCTTTTTTTGTGTGAATTTAATGTACTATGTTATATTTATATGACGTCATGTGTTACAGTCCTGTCTGGATGATCTCACAGTAAAACGTGTCCACAGATTGCCACGTACATTCTTCTTCTTGTTTTTATTCACAAAATAACAAACACTCTCGAGTAATTAAACAAAAAACATGAATTTAATCGCCGCATCAATAAAAATTACAGTATTTTGGCAACAATCTCTCATTTTTGCGGCCACTTAATGGAGGAACAATTTGGAAAGATGAATAAAATCAAACAACAGGTTAGGTTCTGTGATGATTGAATTAATAAAAGCAAAAACATTTTTGTTTTGGTTAGCCGCTCAAAAGAAATGAAAAGTAGTAAAGAAGAAGGTGAAGAGGACGAAGATGGAGAAGAGGAAGGAGGAGAGGAAGAAGAAGGGCAAAAAGGGAAGAGATTTATCGAAAAGCTAAGAAGAAGAGCTGTTTTTGGAGCTGTAGGCCATAAAAGTGTCTCTCGCCGACCTTCCACTCCGGCGCACATTAGCGTCGACCCCAATAACCCTTCTTCTTCTTCATCTAAAATTCCACCTTCTTCTAGAAAGCTCGCAGCTTCTCTCTGGGAATTTTATCAGTATTACGACCAAGACCACCACCACCACCACGAGATTCCTCCTCCTCCTGCTGCTAAAATGCACCGTCTCCGTCACGGCCATGGAAAGGCGGTGGTTAGAGACAATGGTCTTGATCTCACTGATGACCAGGTCTCTCTCTGGAATCTGGAAGTTTTACACTTTTCTGGATTAGTTTGTTTTTTTAGTTGATTACAGTATTATTCAATGAAGCTGATTGGTTTTAGGATTTGGGCATTAGCTAAAGTCTGGATTTTTTTGGGTGACAAGGAATCATTTTGCGCTTGGTTTTATTGTCAAAGTTTGAATTTTTGTGATATGGGTTGTGACTGAATTGTTCTCTTTCTACCTTTGAGTCTTGGGTTTTGGTCAAATCCAGATTTTTCCATATATTGGTGGTGACAAAGTGTTCTGTGTTTGCCTAAATTGCTCTGTTCTTGGTTTGAGAGTTTTGCTGAGATTAGGTTTAAAAATGTGATCTTTAGACTTTAGTTCAACTGCAAAATGTGACCTTTTTGCTCTGTTTTTTTATTCTAACAATGTGCTGTGGTTTCTTTGTGTCCCAGCCAGAGAGTGCAGGAAGTATAAGGAGACAGATCAGTCAAATGCTGACGAAACATCATCAATTAACCGAAAGAAACGACCATTCTTCGCAGCCTCCATCTCCTGCAAGAAGAAGAAGGAGACGAGCTGGTGGTGAGGCTAATCACAATCTCAAGACATCAACCGAACTTCTCAAAGTGCTAAACCGGATATGGAGCCTCGAGGAGCAGCATTCGGATAACATCTCCTTGATCAAATCTCTTAAAACCGAGCTTTCCCATTCACATGCACGGATCAAAGAGCTAGAAGAAGATCGGAAACTGAGGAGACGTGCTGAGAGTTTGCATAGGAAAGTGGCGATGGAGCTCTCTGAAGTGAAGTCTAAGATGGAGAGAGAGACTAAGTCGAAGAAGATGCTTGAGAGACTGTGTGATGAGTTTGCGAAAGGAATCAAGAGTTACGAGAGAGAGACTCATGGTTTGAAGAAGCAGAAGAATTGGGATGATGAAGAAGAACAAGAGGAGCAGATGGTGCTTTGTATGGCGGAGTCATGGCTTGACGAGAGGATACAGAGCGGTGACGGATCGAAGCTCGAGTTTGAGATTGAAGCGTTTCTTAATAAGAGTAAGGAGACGAAGAAGAATCGCCGGAGTTCGCTTGAGTCTGTTCCGTTTAACGCCTTGAGCGCACCGATTCAAGAAGAAGAAGACGATTCGAATTGCTTCGAGCTCAAGAAACATCATAGAGAAGAAGCTGAGAAACAGAGAAGAAGGAATCAAAGTTTACAGGTGAAGTTTGAGGATCAAATGGCTAAAGAAACGAGCAATGTGGTTGTTGGAGAAATGATTGGAACTCATCGGAGAAGCGATGAAGCTTCTTGTAGTTACGCGTCGAGGAGAGCAGAGAGTCCGATTCGTCATTGGAATCCGAGAGCTGTGACGACTGATCTCGGAGTGAAGGAGAAGAAGAACACTTTGAGAGCTAAATTAAGCGAAGCGAGAACCAAGAGTTCACGGCCACGGATAAGGCTTTTCAACGGCTAAGATTTTGTTTGTAATCAGAAGAAGAAAGTGGTCGGAGATGGACACAATCTTGTCGGAAAATAGACACAACTTTGATAGTTCCATTCCATAATGTGTGGATATGTTCAAATCTGTAAATTGTTTGTAACTATATATGTATAAAATGTATATTTGTGAAATTTTATCAAATTCTTGTTTTTTTCTTAAAGAATAAAACTTGAGAA